TGTTTTATTATTAGAAAACTGTGACGTAAACCGCAAAACAATGAAGTCCTCCCCGCGTTGAATTTAAAATAGCCACAACAGTTTTGAGTCATTTTTCGATATCCACAGAAGGTGTGTGCGACTGATTTTTACGGTACCTATAATACCAGAAGCAATTTCGGCCTCAAATTAATGTTTTCAAAAGTAATTGAATGTAGATTTTTCAACAAAAAAAAATTATTTTGGCTTTGGGACGTCACAAATTTTTTACACCCCTCTCTTCCCGCCCATCACAAGTGTCACAAATTCTCGACTCTCCCCCTTTCCTCCCTGAGCGTGACGTAATTTGCGAACGACCCTTAACGGCGCTGAAAAATATGAACACAATATTCTCATCGAAGTTATTTTAAAATCTTAATCAGATGACTTTTTCTTAAGAATAGAATTAGGCGAAACAAAGTATGGGAAAACCTAGAAAACGAAAGAAGCCTTCGTCAGTGAACAAACGACAGTAAATAAAATAACACTGAGCTGAATTGTTGGACAGTAAGGGAATGTGTCTCTTGCCAATTTTTAAAATATATATTTTTGTCTAAATTGAGCCCCTCCCCCTAAAATTTTGTTCAATTCACAATACAGGGATTCAGTTTTGCGTATACTTGAATTTAGTATTGCGCAAAAGACTTCACAAAGAAATGCTATGAGTTTTATTCATTGTAACCAAGTGGTAATGGTGTTAAATAGTAATTTTAAACCATGCTAAAACTGTTCAACTAATGAATGTGTTTAAGCTTCGTCATTAGTGAATCCTTTTTAAAGGTGCTGATGCGCTTAGGTAGCATCCATAAATGACGTCACGCCACGCCACGCCACGCCACGCATATTTTGTCCATTTCTCCCCCCCCCCCCCAAACCCTTTTTAACACTCATCGTCACAAGAATTTTTGACTTTTTTTCTTTGCATTACTTGTATTGCTATTTTTCTTTGCATTACTTGTATTGCTATTTTTCTTTGCATTATTTTTCAAATTCATTCCTAGATTCATGCAAGTGATTTGATAGTGAAGAATACAAATCAGCTCACGTTTTCAAGTTCACGTGCTTATTATGTAGAGCTTGACTGACCGTATTCACAATTTTTTTCACTAGCAGACCAAAGCATAAGGGCGTTATGTAGCACAAACATATCCCATAATGGATTTCTTCTTGTTAAAATAAGTCAACAGTATAACAATGACCAGAACAAAAACACATAAATCGAAGATCATGAGGTCAATGTATTTAAAAACTGTAACAACGTTAAGTTATAGTAATTTTTACATCACATTTACTTTATTTAAAATTGTCCTTTCCTTGTCTTCAAAGCTGCAAGCCTGACAATCACGTGATCAAAATCAATGTCCTTCTCTGTATCCCTTCAAATTGATAGCAGCGCCACATTAGAAAGCCTAGACCACATGTGTCAAACTCAAAGCCGGCGGGCCTCATGAGGCCCGCCGAACAATTATATCAGGCCCTCGAGATCTTGACCGGTGTACATTTATATCCAAGTTAACGCTGTGGTGTTTCCCAATGCACACTTTGCTGAAAAACGTAGCTTACTTCGCGTCGAGTTCGCACTGCGCTTTAGTGATTTTGAAGTACAGAAATGTAATTTCTAGCTGTTTCGTAACCCATTCGTCATAGACGTGGAAACTGCACCTGTAAATTTGCAGATGGAGCTAACAGAGCTGCAGTGTAATGGGACCAAAAGATGGAGCTAACAGAGCTGCAGTGTAATGGGACCAAAAGATGGAGCTAACAGAGCTGCAGTGTAATGGGACCAAAAGATGGAGCTAACAGAGCTGCAGTGTAATGGGACCAAAAGATGGAGCTAACAGAGCTGCAGTGTAATGGGACCAAAAGATGGAGCTAACAGAGCTGCAGTGTAATGGGACCAAAAGATGGAGCTAACAGAGATGCAGTGTAATGGGACCAAAAGATGGAGCTAACAGAGCTGCAGTGTAATGGGACACTGAAGGCCTGCACAGTTGACTCGTTTCATTCCTGAAGAGATGCCCCAGCTTCGTCTACATGCGGCTCGAACCTTGGGCATGTTGGGTACCACATATCTGTGTGGGCAGCTGTTTTCTGTGATGAAGATTAACATAACATCACACAGAAGTCGTCTCACTGATGCACACTTGCAGTCCATCATGAGAATCTCAATGACACAGAACGTTACTCCCAAACATAAGCGCACTTTCTTGTTTTTATAGCCAAGAAAATGTGCCAAACATCCAGGTCTGACGGATGGGGATGCCAAGGACTTTTAATATTAAAACTTTTTTGTTTGTATTCATTTATATTAATGTTTTTTTTTTTTTTTTTAAAGATTAATTTTCCGCTTATTGGATGTTTACCCTGTTCGGCGCGAACCTATCATGTGATTTGAGTTTTGGCCCGCCGAGCGATTGAGTTTGACACCCCTGGCCTAGACTGTCCCACGGTGCATCATAAATATTTCTTGTTAAGCCTTAGTTTTGAAAAGCTCCGCTCACATGAAGCCAGTGGCGTAGCGAGGGTGTTTGGCGCCCGGGGACAAGATTCGCGCCCGGGGACGAGATCCATTTTTAGCGCCCCTTTTTCTTTTTTTCAACTCTCAAACCCATTATTTTCATCAATAAAATAATATCAAAGCACATTTTGGCGCCCCTAACTAGCTGGCGCCCGGGGACATCTGTCCCCCCACTGCCCCCACCACGCTACGCCTCTGTATGAAGCCACATATGCACATATCGTAAGAAACGATGGAAGGCTAGCGAGAGTATCGTAAGAGATTCTAGGAAGTCTCATTCAGCTATGAAGGCTAGCGAGAGTATCGTAAGAGATTCTAGGAAGTCTCATTCAGCTATGAATTTAAAAACATCAAATACTGACCAGTCCATGACTGTGAAAGTAAATATCAGCTGCCTTTAGTTATCTTCTAAGCCTTAATATTTTTTTTAAAATATCATCTTCTGATAATTCAACATAGACAGAGGTTAATTTTGGAATGGAAATCAATAACTCTTCTTCATTAGCTGATAGTAGACTCTTGGGTTGAACAGCCCAAAACATATCTGCTACTTTCTCGATAGTAGATGATCTGATCTGGGGTCCAGAATGAAAACTACCGATACAATTCAGCATGTCCATACTGTTTTCTTCAGGCAGAGTCCAGCATCTATTAACTATTCTATTCTTAAACCTTAATCTTCTACCTACAGAAACTCCATAATTGTCGTAACTTTAAAAGTGCATTTTCAAAAATATGTTCCACCAAGTTACAGCGCTTCTCGTAGAGAAACAATCTTGAGGCTCTAGGTTGGTCACCACTTTGTCAAGAGTGAAGCCTTTGGTCTGCAGATACTGCTGTATAAGATTAACTTCCTTAAGTAGATGAGCCCTAATAGAAATGTAGCAGATAAACGTGAAATCACAGACAGCTCGTAAAAGACCTTGTGCTGTATGACAATAGTGCTCAAATGTTAAGGGGCGGTGCTAGTGGTGAATCGGCGAAAATATTTATTTTTGAGTATTTCTTAGTTTTAATATATTTTGATTGAAAAACCATTTTTTTAACTCTATAAATGGGTAAAGTGTAATTTTATAAAGTGTTTAATTGTTACCGATTCGATTCATGTACTGAGAGAATCACTCGACCACATCGTAATGGGTATCAATGGAAGAACTTTTTTCTCAGAATTTAGATATTATAGCTTCCTGTCACTTTCGTAAGTTACCGAAGACTTCAATCATGGTCAAAACGGTGTTTTTCTGTCCTAATTATAGGGTCACCCCATTTATGAGCCATCAACCTTGAACTTTTAATAAAGCACGCATGTGGATTGGTTACGTGACTGGAACATTGACATGTGATGGGTTATCATTTTATGAAATTCGATTAGACCGAGCAGTTTGTTCTCTGTAAATATGCTAGTTGTCAGTTTGGTGTCACCCAGTGATTATTTCAGAAATTTTCCCACGGGAAGGGGGGGGGGGGGGCACTTCAGATTTTTCGGGGGTCAGTGCTATCAGTGCCAGTTGATTTATTGTTATATTTTTGCTCCGNGTTGGTTTATTTTTGTTTTTGGGCCCGGGGGGGGGGGGTCACTTGGCTTTCCCCTTGCCCCCCCCCCGGGAGCTATAGCTGAAAGAAACCCTGGTGTCACCCCTGAGATGGTGTCACCCGGTGCGGTCTGCACCCCCTGCACCCTCCTAGCGACGCCACTGTTTCGATCTATAATACTAGATCTGTCTTCAAACAACTTTTTTTTATTTACATTTAAATAAATACGAATAAATCATTAAAAGATTGAAAAATATTTTGAGCCCAATATATTGGTACAAATTAATTTTTAATGTTTTTATCGATTCTTATACTTAGAATAGCCCGACCACAACATATTTCCTATCAAAGGAAAGCCTATTTCTCAGAATTTAGACAAATATAGCCTCCTGTCACTTACGGAAGTTACTGAACACTTCAATGGGCGTGATTATAATGACTCTGTTTTTCTGACTTAACCATAGGGTCATCTCATTTCTGACGCATCAACCTTGAACTTTTAATAAAGCACGCAGTTGCATTGGTTACATTTTTGAAAAATGTATGTGTGATCGGTTATCCTTTTATGAATCTCGGTTAAACCGAGCAGTGTGTGCCTAGTGTGCTCTGTAAACATGCAATTTTTCCATTGGGTGTCACCCCTAAAACGGTGTCACCCGGTGCGGTCCTCACCCCCCCCCCCCCCCCCCCCCCCCCCCCCCCCCACCCCCCCGCTACGCCACCGCCAAACACCTTAATTGACATTCTATAAAATTTTTAAAAAGAATAGAAACTCGTATATGACAGCATTTGATTCTTCTAAACCTCATTATTTGAAATCCAATTGAAACTACCTTCCCAAAACCAATAATTATTAATATACCGTATTGAAATAGTTCTTGCAACGTATCAAACATCGGCAATCTGTTTTCAGTTTTATATTTATTTCTTCCTAACATCACACCAACTTTTCAATCAGGGTAGCGCATTAATTTAAACAAATTAATATCATGATGCTTTAAAATTAGGAACTAGTACTTTCCCCCATTCTCGTATCTATAATGAGAACTTCCGCGACGGTTTCAGTCGAATCTCCCTGACTAGCCTAATTCTGATTTTAATTATGTTTGTAGAGGTTTTGACGTTGATTATAATTATAATGGTAAAAAACATTTTAAAATAGACTAAAAGTTATTATTTTATAGCCTTTTATGAGACAAACATGGCCAAAGTGCAGTTTTGATAAAACACGCTTCGAATATTGTACCGTTATAGCCTATACATACATATCTAAAATTTACAAAGTCAGTTAGCGGGTAATGCACAACCATAATTGCGTAAATGGTAACAAGGAGTAGGAGGAAAAAAGTAAAGCCTAGTTATTGAGAACCCTTAATGTTTGTATTTTTTTTATTAATAAATGTTGAGCAGATTGTAACAGTTGTACTTTATTGAATTTGTAATCATTTCTTTGTGGAATACTTGATGCGGCCCAGTCTCACTCAGACTACCTCCTGCAGCCCTCGGATAATTTGAGTTTGAGACCCCTGATCTAATGCAAATCCACTCAAGTCGCTATGATGGCAGCTTGTTCTAGTGGACCCTGATCTTGTATTAAACAATTATCGGAAATGATTTGAGTTTGAGACCCCTGATCTAATGGAAATCCACACAAGTCGCTATGATGGCACCTTGTTCTAGTGGACACTGATCTTGCATTTAACAATGATCGGAAATGGAACAAACAAGAGTAAACTGCCAAACTTTGACATTTTTTCATACTTGTGTCAGTCACCCGGGCACTGGGGCTAAAAATGCTAACTTATCTTTATGAAATTCTTTTCTAACATCTTTTTAATACTTAGATATGATTCTAACACTGTCTCTACAGTTGGACGTTTGATGGGGTCAGTCTCCTTACACTTTGAATGAATATTGAATAAGTGTAACTTGAGAATGCTGCTGCCTGGACCATTGCCAATGAGATAGTTACACACATCGGGAATTTTCCAAATATCAACTTTTTCATCATAAGAATGCATTGCTGTATCATTGAATGGCAGGTTCTCAAAGGGCCATAACTGTTCAGGTGCTACCAAATCCCCAAAGAGTTGAGCATGACCGCACTTTATCAATGTCCCATTATGTCTGATGACTTGTGGTACTGCGTCCATGTCGTTTATAACCAAAGTCAAATTGTTTGTAAGCAACAACTGACTTAAAGCTTTTTCAGGGTCGTTAGAGTCACACATAACAAATGGTCCTTCAGTAGAAGTGTGGAGAAAAGCTAGAATCTCTAAATATTGCACACACAGCATAAATCTGAATGTAATTGTATTTAAATTAGGAAATTTTTCAAACAAATTCTCCAACTTATTAGGCGAACCTAAAGGATGTTTTTCAGTGATGATAATAGGAAACTCAAGGTCCTCAATACACCATCCAATGAGCTGATTGACCTTTGGTTCCTTACTGAAATAAGACAACAGCTTCAAGTCATTCTTGAAATCCATTACATAGAAATCTGTCTTGAGATAATTGAGAGCAACTGCATGGCCACGCCAAACGCCTTCTCTAACCTGTGTACACAAAAATCATTAATTAACAGCAAGAACAAACTCCATAATAATAGACATAAATCTTGTGTACCGGTATATGATGGAATTTGTGTTTATGTATAAGGATATGAAAATATAATTCTATTATATAAATATAAGTATCAAGATAAGATGTGTGTATCATACAAGTAGCAAGATAAGGTGTGTCACTTACAAATACCGTAGCAAGATATGGTGAGTGTATCATATAAGTAGTGATAAAATTAAATAGACTTTCATTTCTATTATTTTTATGCACAGTAATACAAGAATAAAATTAGATGTATACTTAAATCCAACACTGAGCACAATTCACAGTAAACAAACATTCCATCAAACTTTGGGCACAACTCACAGCAAACAAACATTCAAGCCAACATTGAGCCCAAACTCACAGAAAACACATTCAATCAAACATTGGGCACAACTCACAGTAAACAATCATTCAATCAAACATTGGGCACAACTCACAGCAAAAAAAAATTCAATCAAACATTGGGCACAACTCACAGTAAACAAAAATTTCAATCAAACATTGGGCACAACTCATAGCAAACAAACATTTAAGCCAACATTGGGTACAACTCACAGAAAACACATTCAATCAAACATTGGGCACAACTCACAGTAAACAATCATTCAATCAAACATTGGGCACAACTCACAGCAAAAAAACATTCAATCAAACATTGGGCACAACACACAGTAAACAAACATTCAATCAAACATTGGGCACAACTCACAGCAAACAAACATTCAATCAAACATTGGGCAGGACTCACAGTAAACAAACATTCAAGCCAACACTGGGCACAACTCACAGTAAACAAACATTCAAGCCAACATTGGGCACAACACACAGCAAACAAACATTCAATCAAACATTGGGCACAACTCACAGTAAACAAACATTCAAGCCAACACTGGGCACAACTCACAGTAAAAAATCATTCAATCCTACACTGAACACAACTTGTAAATACAAAACTTGAGTTACATTCAGTGTTTGAAAATACCTACTATTTTTTGTGTGCCTTCTCCAAGAAGTAACTGCGTGTCTGTGACTTCCCTAAAAATATCTGAACATGTTAACCAATGATGACAAAAGGACATGCCAGTTAGGAGAAAGCTACCGAAAGAACAATTGTTTCTTTGCTTTACATCAATTACAATCTCAGAGGACAAATCTAAAAAAAAAAAAAATAAGCAAAAGACATTGTTAATATACCTTAGCAAAAATGATAAAGGAGCCAAATGCACGCAAAATAATTATTTTCATCCACAGATTTGTTTTCAATTTTAAAAACTAAAAGGTTAAAATTTCTAATTGACATTTTTAAGGAAATATCAAATGTTGATATACTATGCAGGGATTCAAATTAGAGCTCTTGAAGATGTAGTGAATTTTTCATTAAAATAACATAAAATAGACAAATAGACATTGCCAAAATCAACATGGTTATAGAAAAGGTTATAAAAATTGTATTAGTAGGCATGGCAATTTATTATAGCTAAAGCTTTCATTGAAGCTTAAATTTTAAAAAACAAAGATAGATCAGTTCTTGTTATTGATGGGATATTAAAAAATGTAGGCTATAATTTATAAAGATTACTTACTGTCACTACTGTGATACTGATACAACACAGCAATTAGTGCAACAGCTCCAAGCAAAAATGTATATAAATAATATTCTTTCATCTGAAACAATGAGATAAGACAAAGAAAACCAATCATAAGTTTCAAATTTCTCAAAACCCTATATGGTACCATGTACCAATTATCTATTAAGTTAATAGTATAGGCCTAAAGTAAATTGCATTTCATCTTTATGAAGTAACCTTTTACTTTTAAAATACATTGCTATTGTAATTATTAACTTAAGTTCTTAAATTACTGTGTAAGTGTAAGCCTATAATTTTAAAAATTATATATATGGCATCCTTCTGTCTTCTCGGGATGATGGAGTAGTTACCTACACTTCGACGAGTGGCTCACTAGGCCAAACTGGAATGGCTAACTCAACTGTATTTCTCGCAGGAGAATATTGATTCCTGGTTAGATTTGGCCTTCCAAATTTGTTGCAAGGGGTTCGTTTTTTTCATCTTCCGCCTTTTAGACTCTTTCATACACTATTTGCAAGCTGGAACATTGTTTGGAAATGATCTCCCATTCGTTGATTTCAATGTTGGCTTCCCTCATGCTCTTTTTGGAAAAGTCCATAAATCTCAGGCATGGCCATCAAGTAAGTCTTGTCCCTTCTGCCAACTTTCCATACAGCAGCATCTCTGGGATATGGCTTTCCTCCATTCTCCTTACAATACATGGCCTAACCAGCGAAGGCACCTCTTGCTAAAAACTGAGAATATGCCAAATATTTAAAACCTCTGCACCTTGTCCTGCCATCGAATATGTCAAATGTGATGCAGACATCTTTGATGGAAGCTGTTGAGTTTCTGCTCATGACTGGTATATGTGGTCAATACTTCACTGCCATATAGGAGCATACATAGACACTTAGTTTTGTTTTTTTAAGTTAGATTGAGATTATTCCACACCAGCTTAATCAGTTTAGGCATAGTTGCTGCTGCTTTTGCGATCCTGATGTTTATCTCTTCATCAACAGAGAGAGAACTAGAAATATTGGATCCAAAGTATGTTAAATGCTCAACAACCAACTGATTATGGCCTTCTATATAAATTTTTAGAGGAGACGGTGCTTCTTGCATCATTACATGTGTTTCTGTAGACTAATTGACAGTCCAAACTCTTTACAAGCGTGTGATAGACGATTAACTAGTCACTGAAGACCTTCATCAGTGTGAGATGTTAAGGCGGCATCATCAGCGAATAGCAGTTCACAAATTAGTATCTTTTTTACCTTGGTCTTTGACCAAAGGCGGGCGATATTGAACAGCCTACCATCAGATCTGGTATGGATTTACACTCCATCTTCACAGTCTCTGGAAGGCAAATTGAAGGAGCATCGAGAAGAAAATGGATAAGAGCGTTGGTGCCAGTACACAACCTTGTTTTACTCCGCTGCTGACTGGGTATGATTTAGGCTTATTGAGCCCTCAAACATCATACAATTTTAAGGCTCTTATTTTTTTTAAAGTATACAGAAATTACGTAAAACTTGGAAACGTATACCAGTATGCCTTTAAATTATTGAAGAAATAGATAAGTAAGAGACACTGGTAAAATAGAATTTATTTTCACATCAATCTATTGCATGATACATATTTAATAATTTTGGCCTTTTTAATTTAAGAGTAAATCCAGACCTAACTTACAGCTCTAAGAATAATTTTAAAACTTTATATTTTTTGTTACAGTAGCTTTAATTATTTCTATTTATTTATGAAGAAATCATTTGTCCTGCAGTTTCTTTACCCAATTATCAAATAAAACATTTTCAGTTCAGTAGGCTCTGTTCTCACTGGATACTGAATGGGCAGGGTGGATACTGAATGGGCAGGGTGGATACTGAATGGGCAGGGTGGATACTGAATGGGCAGGGTGGATACTGAATGGGCAGGGTGGATACTGAATCAGCAGACTGGATCCATGTCGGTAAAACAAAACCCAACATTATAACAGCAAGGTTTTTTTCGTGACCTCGTATTTTGCTTTCATTACAACCTCGTACAGTACTTGGGTAATGCTGTTTTAATTAATTTAAATCACTTAAACAGTACAGTTATTATGAGTTATGTGGCATTTTTAAAGAATCTACCAGGGATCTCAAAAATATCTAGGTGCATGGGCCTCTCAGGAGCTCAACATATATTATTAAAAAGTTACTATTATGAACCAAAAGCTGAAGCAGCACTAAACTCCCGACTCTGAAAATGCAAATGATCTTTAATTTCCGATCTGCAATCCTGGCGCCACAGATAAATCCAAAAAACATTTTATCCTAGTTACATAAAAACATTTTTAGGAAAGGGTAATCCTGTTGCATTATTTTAATACGGTATGCATCAGCTTTTCCTCTTTTTAAAAATTACCGGTACATAAAAATGTTATGAATATTTGAATCTAAGCTGAATTTAAGTTCAGAAATGTGATGTGTGATGACGTTTCACCATTGACTCACAAAAAAATCATGTGCGGTGATTAAATATAAATATTAATAAACGTTCTTGGCCTTGGGGTGTTAAAAATTCTCCCAACACCCAGGTAGTCACTAACCCTAGCTACCATAATGCCCAAACATAGTGAGATCAGCTATATGTGTACCGGGTACTGCTTTCATTCTTAGTGATGAGATATTTCTAACTTCAAATGTATCTCCAAAAGATTTCCTCTTACTCTTATTTTCCTCTATTTAAGGCCCATGTTGAATACACCTAGTTTTTATTATATATGTAAACAATATAAAAGAGGCGGTAAAAAGCATAAAATTGGCAGTGAAAATCAAAAGAAAGGCTTTCAGTAAAGTTTCTGACAAGGAAGTGAAAGACAAAGCTTACGAGTAGCCAGAGCGCTGAGAATATTTACAAACAATAAAAAAATGAACAACATGCTGGACATTCGGATTCCAAAGCTTAAGCAGCTTTTCGATATTGAGTAAAAATTAAGTGGAATTTTTCTTACGGATTCCAAGGTCCCAGTGTACATTGGAAAAGCTAATACAGTATACAGTAAGATGCTGATAAGCCTGATGTCAAGAAGAGGGTGCTCAGTTTGGGAACCACTGGCACTTATGCCCTACCCAGATGCTATTTAAGCAGTGGTTCTTAACCAGGAAGGTGGTTTCAGGGGTGCTGGAAGACCCAGAAAATCCGGTTTAAATCCAGTTTATACTTAATTTTCAATTTTATCAGCATTTTTCTCATGGGTGGTGCAAGACTAATGTTTTGAAATCTAAATGCGATAGCAGTGTGCTAGAAATCTTTTAAAATTGACAGGAGGTGCCGCACTGCAGTTATGAATCCCAATCCCAGTATTTTTTTAAGTTAATTAAAATTAAAGTACCGGTACCAGTATAAGTTATAAGTATTAAAAGTTTAAACCAATGACAATAAAATTATTATAAAATAAATTATAATTAATATCATTTTATATAAAATATAGGCTTAATATTATTTCTGGTTCTGGTAGTGTTCCTTGCTGCATCCATATACTGGCATCTGTGCAACGGTTGGGGGAATGGTGTTGCTAGTTACACCACTTTTTGGCTAAATACATTTATTTAAATAAAATACAAAATTACCCATTTGAAAAATGAAGCAGCAATGCGGCCTTAAAATACACATGAATAATCCAATAATGAATGATGCATTTGCATGAGTTTGATACTATTTAGTTTTATTCTCTAATTTGTGGGAGAAAATAAACCATGCTTAAAAACCAAAAGAATAAGTCAAGAATCAAATAAATGTGTTCTTAATTAAATTTTTTATCGTTCATCATTGTTATATAGTTTTTCACTTACTATTTCTATGTCATGTCATGTGAATCTTAAGACTTAAGACTTAAGAGCCATTTTGCTACAACAGATCCATGCAACCTGTGACTAACTGAAATCATTGTCATGATATTGATTGTGAATAGTGAATATCCTGATAATTTCAAAATAAATATTCTGCTATCTGAAAACTCAACATTAATGACACTATCACTGAATAACAGCTTCAGGAAAAACAGAGTCAGTGAGATACTCAGTCTACGACTTATGGAAGTAGAGGAATTTGTAAAACACCTATGCATACTATTACTATTATTTTTTCACTATGCCTATGACTATGACTTTATCATAAAGTATGACTCCACAAAGACGACCTATGACCTATGCCTAATAATTTAATACTAATACTCTTATTGAACAATTAAGACAAAGAATTTAACCTCTAAAAACGAATTTCTTAGTATAAATCGCTTATATTCATTTTTTTTTTTTCATTTATGTAATTTTACGTTCATTTATGTGATTGTGATTGATTGTAACAACTGATTTTTTGGTATGGGAATGGTTTTATTTTTATCAAACAGTGCATGTAAAACCTAATAGACGAAAGATAAATTTAAACCCAAATACGTCACAAATACAAAACATGTAGCAACAGCTTCACAGATTAATCTCCACACCAATACACGCAACAATTGAACAAATCATTAACATTCCCCTTCCCCTTGAAAAACAGCAAAAACTGATTTTTGACGGAGAGGCTGAAAATTTGTAGAATGTGTTGTCACCCTGTGACACAGTCACGGCAACGAGTCTATGTCACTATGTGCAAAGTGTCACCTCGATAGGATGACGGGAAGTGGGTAAGTTAGCCTTTCAAAATTAATATATTATACCACAAAGAAAGAAAGAAAGGACCCTACACGAACAAAATTGAAGTAATTTTAAATTATTTATAAAAATATGATATTTCATATAATAAGTAACTTTACACTATTGTTTATGAATCAGACTCGTCTGTTATTATTATTATGTTCGTTACCCACTTGAAATTCTTCATTTTCTCATCTTTGGCTATGGCCACTATGGGGAAGCATGACTCAGAACGTTAGATTTAGATCGCTGCTTAAAAATTTCATGAAAATTTAACTAGAAAGTAGTAGTAGCCGAAACAAAACCATTGAGCACATTTTACAACACCAAGCTGACTCATTAATTTACTAACTAAATGATTATTCATAAGGGACGTCCAAAACAAAATAGTACCCAGGCAGTAGTTTGTTTTCAATATTATTATTGAATAGTCAATAATGTGTTATAACTTTTCAACTAAAGACTAATTTTCATATTGAATTCTCGCATAAAACACGATACCATAACTTTCATGACCCGTACTGACCACGGTATAAAATGTTCCAATGTCTGGGGGTAGGGGTGGATTGGGGGGGGGGGGGGATGGTCACCCCGGCGCTTTGCACACGTGCTGCTAACACAAAATCTTTACAAGATCCCCTTGTCCACGCTTGAGGAAATCTCCACCCCCCCCCCTCCCTTTGCGTGAAAATTGATTACGACCACCCAAGGTCAACAGACTAAAATATTTTAAACCAACTGTTGAAATGGTTTGCCCGTTATTTATTCAAACGTGTTTTTAAAAGTAACATAAAATTTGCAGTGTTTATTTTATAGAATTTTTTGGTTAAATAAATAAATTAATTAAACAATGAATAAAATGAAAACCGGGAACGGATAGCCAGAAATAATGAAAATCATTATCCATTCCATATAAGCTGAATTTATCAGATAGACTGTAGTGTTTGTTAAGGGTTCAGATGGATAAAGAAACTTATCGAAGGACTGATTTTTTAAATAGAGTACATTAACAAAAAAGGAAACTTTAAAACCAATGAAAATACACGACAAAACAATAAGAAAACAGAAATACATGTTATAGTAACGAGACGTGTTGTAATGAATTTCAATGGGGTAACAATGAAGTTGTTAATTTATTTCATTAGAAATAATCAATCACACTAAAATAAGGGATTATCGCTTAAATCAAGAAAAAAAGAAGAAAAACAAACAAACAAAAGACAAATATGGTTAATTGAAATAATCGATCATCAAGAACAAAGTTAACTAGTAAAAATAGAGCTACCAAATCTCGGGAAAGTTCCACAGATCTGGGGGGAATTCACGACAACCATGGGAACTGGGGAATAATATTTTTAAAAAAAAAACATAAGAAATCTTGGGAAATTTAAAGTTTGGATAAAGTATTGTTGTTGTTTTGTTTTTGTTTTTTTTTGTGTTGTTTTTTGTTGTTGTTGTTTTTTTTTTTTGTTGTTGTTGTTTTTTTTATAAATAGGAGGCGGGGATTTTTTTTAAATATGAGGGAAAAAACAACAAAGATAGGTGGAAAGATTTGCGTTATAAGCAAGTAAAGCCTGGGTAAACTCTGTCCATGGAGATCTTCCATGATCCATCCATCCCTTGCACCTACTGCAAAAGTAAATTAAAATTCGTGCTAGAATCGGTCTTAGTAGCCATCTAACACGAATACCATGATTTACTTAAATGGTCTTTCGAACTAAGAGAGGGCAGAACGTTCACTGAAGTGAACTAGTGGTGACATATTATCCCCCCTTCCCCCTACCCCCCCCCCCCGCCCCAAATGAAAAATGCGATGCCTTTCTTATCACGACTAAAGTCAACTTTTGTCAGTTATTTTTAACTTGAGGTCTTTCGAACTAAGAGAGGGCAGAACGTTCCCTGAAGTGAACTAGTGGTGACATATTATCCCCCCTACCCCCTACCCCCCCCCCCCGCCCCAAATGAAAAATGCGATGCCTTTCTTATCACGACTAAAGTCAACTTTTGTCAGTTATTTTTAACTTGCCCCTCATAAATTTTTAAGATCTTTGCGATTTTATGAAAGTGATGTTGAATAGCGAATATATGAAACTACAATCAACACAAAAAGGGAGTGGGCAAGGAAATATTACATGTACGTTTAGCTAAAGTAAAGTAAACGTATTCAACATACAAATACTAGACTTAATTTTATTAAATCATAAGCAAGTGATGACGTTTCCTATCTTTTATAAAAAGCTGTCATTTTCTTTTCACCACAACGATTAAGACTACTATTTTTTTCGTGATCAAAACAGCTTGAAAAATAATAGAATCTGGAAATAACAAATCTTGACTATTCAATTAGAAATAAAATGTTAAATAATAAAAATAAATAACTTAATTCTTGGAAAAAGTGGTGTCATGGCCAAAAATATGTGAACTTATGAAGCTGACTTAATTTGTGAATTGGTATACAAAAGTTAAGGTGTACAAAACTACATGTAAGTCAATCTTATTTTTAACACTGGGAGATAATTTTTACCTAATTTAACAATCAGTTATGTTACTTTGCACCCATTTGAACATAAACATAAATTATGTTGACGTTATTGACGATCTTAAAAGCCCGTATACAATTTTAGTAGGGGATTTAACATTTTCGTTGATGCGTCATCAGGGTCGTGTGAAGGGGGGCGAACGGGGCACACGCCCTCAGTGCCAACTTGAAAGAGTTCCAAAATCGCAAGCATCATACAAAATACGTGTAATAATATACTTTCTGGGAACAGGGCGTATAAATTCAGGCAATGCCACGGGCGCAGCGTTTGTTTACTACAACCCTGGTGCCCGTAACGAAATAGGCTAATTAAAAAAAAAAACCTAGATGAATCGGGAAACAGACCTTTTTTAATTTTTTTAAAACATCAGTTTTTTCCCCCGACATCGACACTACTCTGATATGGCTTACGTGCCTGGACATCTGCTCGTTCTTTCACATGGTCTAGAAAGATGTTTCCGAAGTTTCTGGCCGGGAGCTGATACCGGACCGCGAAAGCTAAAATACCGGGTCATGGAAAAACTCTCCAAACCCTTAAAAATGACCCTGCAATTTAAGCAATGTAAGGGACATATGTGGGACAAATGTTAAGAACACATTCGATAATAAAAACTAAAGTTTCTAGTAAACAAGTATCCCAATTTTGATTAATTTAAATTAATTCACCAGGTTTCTGTTTGACGTCTTTGAATGTTTGTAAGAGTATGTTATGTTTTCAATTGTTGAAATATATAAAAAATGTAGGCCTATGGTTATTAATATATATATATATATATATATATATATATAATATATTACCTAGAGGCCTGACTAAGCAATGAAACTTTCAGTGAGCCACGAAGTAGAAGTATATCTAAACAACCCATACAAAGTTTTCTTATAAATCCTTTATAAAATGTAATATCAAGCAATGTGGAGAGGGAGTGAAAATTTGAAAAAAAAAACAACATGCATACAAGTAACGCACTTTAAAAGAATCCCAATTAGAGGCCCCCCCCCCCCTCTCGAGGCTCGCAAACGCACAATTTTTCACGCCACTGAGCTATATTAATATTATAATGACCCACTCACTTTTACACCGCAGTTTAATTTCACCAAATATTTCAGAAAAACAAAAGAAAATATTATGCATCAAACGCACTGTGATATTTCTTTAAGAAAAATAATCTCTTTAGCGCANAAAAAGAATCACTTTTTTTTTTTTTTTTTTTTTTTTTTGGGGGGGGGGGGATGGGGGTGGGGGGGATGGCTGGGGCTTAAAATTTGAAAGAATGTGTTGTCCGCAACGAGTCCATGTGCCAAATTTCAGTTCAATTTGTTGACGGAAGTGGGTCAATTAGCCGACCTAAGAATTTGCCAGCCAGCCTCACATGAATAAAATTGAGGTTAAAAATAATATAAAGGATTTAAAATAGTCGAGAAAAATAAATTTTTGGGAAACGATAGCCTCAAATGCATGTTTTTTCTTATCATTTTTTTTTTTGTTTTAATTATCTGGGGAAACCTACAGATCAAACCTGGGGAATTTTGACAAATCTGACTGGCAGCACTGGTACGAAATCTCAGCAAGAAAACCGGATATCCGTCCTTTACTACTTGGCCCAAACAAAAAGGTAAGAAGAATTATTTGTTCTTTTAAAATCGAATTTAATCTACAACTTATCAAATTAATTTTGAAATAAAATTCAAGTTAAATTATTAATCGATCTTCTGTCTATCACATATCTTGTAATGATTTCTCTTGAAATCGCTTATTAGCAGGAAACTTGATTTGGAAACCACTGGGCAGTCAGTAGGGTAACGAATAGACATGTTCGCACTGCAGTATTGTTACTGATAATGCAAATTTAAAGTTTTATCTAAATCATATAATTTTTAGAGCCGGACTGATTTAGTGTATTAAGTCTATTGATATTTAATCATCCCATTTGAACTTTTTTTTTCAGGCCTTCAAGATGAAGTTCAACAAAGCAGTTTCTGGATCTAGACGCAAGAATAGAGCCAGGCATTTTAATGCCCCTTCACACATTAGAAGGAAAATTATGAGTGCTCCACTTTCTAAGGAGTTGCGTGCTAAGTACAATGTGCGAAGTATGCCTATTAGAAAAGATGATGAAGTTCAGGTAATTGAGACATAATCTAAATGAAGTAATATAATTAGGAAATATAAGCAGTTTATTTATAAAGACAAAATAAGTGCTTAACTCATTCCTGGCAGCTGTGACTAAATGAAAGTGCGTCATTTCAGATCTACTGTCTGTGATAACCATTGTTGTGCCCCAATTAGGCCCAACTGCAAAGGCTGGCTTCTGAAAAAAATGTGAAACAAAAAGAGGTGACTTCAAAATGCAGCAAAAGGGGTTATTTGTTGCCTGCCATGGACAGATAAACATCAGGTCAATATGATCCACTAAATCCAACCCAGAGAAGACATCGGTTCAATCCAAAGACAGCATAATCAAGCTGAAATCCCCTTTAGTTACCGGTCTTATTATCCTGTAGAAAGACTAAGCCATAAGTGTTGGAGTTATCACTTTTAGTATCTAATCCAGATATCAGTCGTCAATGGCTATCTACTGCCACTACTGATGAATTCCCTTCTTAGTAAGTGCCCCTCAAGTTCTGTGCAATTTTTCTGTGCAAAGCTTGCTCAACAATTGCTAAATTTTAAAAATGAAAGTTACCTCATCAAGCACTTTTTGTCTTAAGAGGCCATATATTGCTGGCATTGCATGACCATTCAGCCCCAAGCATAGACTGTCTATACTAGGGGTGTGCCGGATCCGTTTTTTCCAACCGGATCCAGATTTTCTTATGCGAAATCCGCCGGATCCGGATTCCGGTTTCTCCCGGATTCCGGATTTTGGTACTATTGGTAGATACTTCGGTAAGTCAAGGTGGACTACTACTTTTTGTGTATGGGAATTCGCAATCGGCGCCAAAAAATCCGAGTTTTTAATTTTCCGATGTGTGTGTCTATTTATTATTAAATTAGTACTTTCGATATATATTTGAGTTCCGTTCCATTTGGATAAGTGTCTTACGAGAGACGCCATGTTTCTACGCGTTCGCAGCAGGTTATGCAGCTCGCTCAACCTAATTTCGCCATGGGGTTGGCCACGCCCCCCTTTTTAATGGCGGAAGTTGACGATACTTAGGAAATATTAATTTATTATCACTATTTACATCAAAATAATTGATAACTTGTGTTTCAGAATGCATTTAAAGACATTTAAACTGGAATGTTTTAATTTGAGCTTTAACAACCCGGTAGAATCCATATTATAAATGATCAGAATTTACCGTGTGCAACACGTTGTCATTGGCAACCATTCACAGCCACTTGCATAACTGTATCGTAGTACTACCTCAGAGTTTCATTCATAAGAGTTTGCCGTGTGCAAAAACTATTAAACCATTGGTCAGGGAAAGCTTTAATTAATTATTCATGTGCCAAAGTTGAAAGTTTAAACTAAGTCTAAACAGTATTTTAGTGATAAGGCAGGGAATGCGTTGCCTTATATAAACTATATAGTCATTGCGCATGACGGGATTGGTGGAATGAGATCACAGAATGTGGAGATGCAGTCCATGTTAAAAAATGACAAACCAAGTCGTACTTTAAAAATTCATAACTTTAAAACTACAACAGCTAAAAATATGATTTTGGTGTTATAATTCTTTAAAAAATTACATCTTTTCAACTATGCCATTGGTTTATTTTTACAAAAAGTTTAAATTTTCTTATCAAAGTCCCTACACTATTGGCCACTATTAGCTGTGCTGACTCTAGCCTCTGGTATGTACGGAATATTAAACATTAAACGAGCTCAACGCTCGAAACAATCGATTAATGTATCGTGATCGTGTGAAATTCGGGAAAGAGAATTACTTTTATTTCAGATTATGATCCGGTGAGTCACAAAATCTGGCAAATTCCGAAATCCGGTATATTCCGGAATCCGGTTGTTCCGGATACATGTAAATCCGGCGGAACCGGATTTCACCGGATAGTGCAAAATCCGGCGGAACCGGATTCCGGACCGGGGTCCGGCACACCCCTAGTCTATACAATACCGGGCAGAAAATGTTGATGCTATCAGTGTGTGATGGTAGTCACACAAATGCCCAGCGGAAGGACAAAAGGCTGCTTTTTGCATGCTGGACAATGCTGTAGCATTTACCATGACAGCCTAAAACAAACTTTAGCACCCCTTAAAATTGGATGAAATGTAAGAAACAAGTGTATGAAATGCCATTAGTTAATTTTTGTTTCTTTGGTATTGTACCAGTAATATTACAATTTTCCGAAAAATTTTCAAATTCTGAATACCGGTACAAAATGTTTTTAATAAATTATATAATATAGGGAAGCGTTATCCGCACGGCTCTGCGAATAATGCTGAGCGTTATCGGCTGATCGAAATCTTCTAAAAATGCAGAGCGTTATGTGCACAGCTGTGCCAATAATCACTTTGATATATAATATATATATAAATGGTTTGACAATGGGAGTAGCTTCCCTTGTCCAGGAAAATGTATAGAGTGAATTTGCTGTTTTAGTTAATAACAAAAAACAATAGTTTTTCGACAGGAGCTTAATTTTATGGATAGCTTAATTTTATGGCGAACATAGCAACTTTATTGTATCCCTCTAGATATGCAGCAAGAAGTGTCGATGACCTGTGGTCTCACTCCCCTCAACTAAAACACAAGCTAGTTTCACACTATGGTTAGAAAAGTGTAAAAATAATAAAGAAAAACAATACAAAATATTTTTAAATAATGAAAACCCAATATTACAGTTTCATGGATTACATGAAATAAAATCCCAAAGTTATCAGTTCAGAATAATGTATAACCATTCAATCTGCAGCATAACAAATTAGCCTCTGTTCAATTATTAAAATTAATCCCCTAATGAAATATTAATGTACAAAAAAAGGAGAAAATCCTACACAGAAACTCAGCCGAAGATGCCTACTGTTTACTAAAATGAAATGGATGGATAATATTTTAGTAGTTTTTGTGATATGGTCATTGCGTTTGAAATAGTGTACCTGGTCCTAAGAACTTTCCAATGTGTTTAAATGCATTACAAAGCAAGAAAATTGAGATTAATACAGAATATAATTTTTATTTATTAAAAAAATAAAGTAAGAGTAAAGTATTTTTGTAACAGAAAAAGGATAGATTATCTGCAGTACCTATTTCCTATTTAAAATAATTTTAGTACAGTTGTCAATTTTTTGTATTTCTATAAGTTTTCTATTCTCTATTTCTTTAGGTTGTTAGAGGTCATTACAAAGGACAGCAGATGGGAAAAGTAGTCCAGGTGTACAGGAAAAAGTTTGTGGTATATATTGAACGCATCCAAAGAGAAAAGGCTAATGGTGCCACTGTTCATGTTGGCATCCACCCATCAAAGGTATGTTTTTTATCTTTTGTTATAAAGATATAAACTAGGCATTCAACCTTATAAATGTAAAATGATTATAGGCTTTCATAATGGGCGTGGGTACTCAAGTTAGAGGTATTTTCAGGCGAAAGGTTTGTGCGATTTTCTGAAACTTCTATTTCAAGAAAATTTAAATGTTAAACCATTATGTTTCTAATTAATTTTATTTAATCCATAGCCATAGTTTTCTGTCTTTTAGTTTTACAACTGCTCATCTCGGTTTTGTAAATGAGGGTAAATATTTTGGCATGGACTGTAGCAATAAAATCCAGCACCACTTTTTTAAAACTAGAATTCACTGTTGTTTCTTTAAATCATGCAGATCCTTTTACCTTTAAGATTTTTCAATATTTAATGTTATTTTTTATCCCTTTTGGTTTGATATCTGTCCATCTGGGCAGTGTGTTAGTGTAAATGAGGGTACATTATATGTTAGGTAAATGGTGCTAAGACTTAACAATGGACTTATGCCTTACCGATCTAACAACACAAACTTTTGATCAGAAATCATGATTTTTTTTTGCATATTAAATTAGTACTGGTAACATACATGTGATCGTACCAACTTTTCTATAAACTTGATGCTGATTCTCATAAGTCTAAAATTAGCACTTTGCAAAACAAAAGACTTTCTGAGTAATAATGACTTTTTGCATTGACTGCCAATTTCTCCATCAAAAGGTTAACAGATTTTATATGCCCATTGCATTTTAAGATTTTCTAATTTCAAACATAAAAGGCTGACCAACTTACTTTGATCAGTGCATTGGTTAATTTCAATAGAGCCCATTTTTAATGCATCTAATCCATTATCGGTAATGGTTTTAATGTTATTTTTCAGCCACTACTGTCCAGTTCTCATTTGCTTCATCTTTGTTTAGACTTAGTATGATAAGAGGGGACTCGGTTGACTTATATACCAGTAGTACAATTGCATCATTGTTTCTGCTCTTTTTAACGGTTAATTAAAATTTTTGTTTAGGCATTATAGTTATGTCTTCTCTTTAGAAATCCTTTGTAACTGGACCAATGTCATGGTTAACTATAGAAGGCCATATGAGTATTTATCACATTATTAACCTTAGCTAAATTCAAAGCTGAAACGTACATTATTTCAATTTACAATTAATGTTCCTGTGAATTAAGTGAGCTCATCATCATGTCCCTTAGCCCTTGGACCGTTAAGGCGCCACAGATGACCTGTGAACTATCCTCCTCCATTTGTCTCTGTCTTCTGCACTACGCACACTGCATCGCCTAGTTTTAGTCCCGTGAGCTCACATCTCTGTAAAAATCCCCTTTACAGCAGTATCCTGTGAGGTTACCTTTATTTTCTGATGTACATTTCAAATATAGTTTTATGAAAATACTGTAATTTGTTTCTTTTATTTAATGTAATGGTTAACCCTTTTGGTTTGATATCTGTCCTTCTGGGCAGTGTGTCAGTGTAAATAAGGGTACATTATATGTTAGGTAAATGGTGCTAAGACTTAACAATGGACTTATGCCTTACCGATCTAACAACACAACTTTTTTTGTTTAACCTGAATTGGTTTTTTCTTAGTTGTACCCATCATTAAAGTTTTCTTCTGTCATTCTTCGTTACAGACTGTTATTGTGAAGTTAAAGCTGGATAAAGATCGTAAGAAGATTTTGGAAAGGAAGGCCATGAGTCGGGCAAAGGCAATGGCTGAGAAGGGAAAGTATACAGAAGAGACCATGGAAAGTTAACTTCATTGAACCTGATTAAAATATTAAATTTAAATTCCCCTTTTGTTCTCAAATTTTTTTTGTTAAAAGTGCAATACAGATAAGCAATGTTATTACATAAATGGTGTTGAACAAATTGTTTGGAAGTATATAAATGCCCATAATTGAAGAATGCTTGGAGGAAAATCTTTATAAATATGTTCAAAATAATCTTTTGGTTTGGCTAGGTAAGGAAGGTAAAACTACATAAAGCAGCACCTCTGCTTCAATTTTCATTATTAGCAGAATGGGTAATAGTAATAGTTTGAAAATTTAGGGAAAGCTAATAATTTTCTCAATATATATACAGAAAATATAAGTATAATTGTTTAAAAGGAAAAGTCACCCCATTTCATAGTATTTGAAGCTAAAGAGACCAACAGTAACCAAAATTCATTTTTGGAAAGATATGATTAGCCTCTTTAAAAAAAGAACTCTTTAAAGAAAAAAAAAGGAAAATATAAAAGGGAAACATTTTACTAAAGCTGCGGGAAAATTCAACCCATAGGTCATGCTATATATGTCTGAGAACCCGTACTTGTAATACTTTAAGATCTGGGTCTCATATCTATAGTTATAATTTATAGTATTATAGTTTTGTTTACTGTTACTGTACAACTACTGCCACTAATTAATTGTAATTATATTAATAATTTAATTAAACATAGTTATTAGGTATAGTTACTAGGTACTGTAATCATTGAGTTTAAATGAATTGGAAATATCCTCAAATTTACACTTATTATCATAAACAAATGCATAGAACTATACAAATATAATTTTAAAGTTTAAATTCTGATCTAAATGTATATACTGAATACTGGTACCAATATTTCCATTTCTGATTAGTGTAGTACAGCGGTTCTCAACCTGTGGGACGCGACCCCTTTGGGGGTCGCCTAAGACCATTGGAAAACGCACATTTCCGATGCCGATGGTCTTAGAAACCGATTGATTTTGGTCCCGCTAAAAAAAACTTTAACCATTCAGCCTGTAATAAAGTTTAAACCGACAGTGAAAACTACTGCACAAATCAGCTTAGTTAACGGGTAATCGCGGATTATTAATAGTGCATACTTTGGAAGAATCAGGCAAGTCCAGTGAAAATGTAGAGAAGAAAAAAATCAAAGTGACCTCCCTAAGTATCACAGTGATAAGCTTAATTAACCAATGGCAAGTAAGTTAACCATAAATAAATTAAAAAATATAGGTCAAATGCCCGATGCTGAAATTACACGGAACAATAAATGATAATATTATGATCTAAGAAGATAAGCTTAAAATGAAAATTTTAAGGCAAAAAAAAATATATCGGTTCAGGATTAAATTTTAGTAGCCTTCGTCTGCAATCACAGACCTGTTTACTCTTACGATTTTGGCGTACAATGTACGATTTTGAGATGTCTTTTACGATTGTACGCCGAGACCCGCCAAAACTACGATTTTCAGAGAGCCGGTGAAAAAAAAATAATTTTCCGATTAAAATTCGTTTGTTGAAGTTTTAGCCTTTTCCAATAAAAATCTGGCAGTGAATGAAACGAGAAAAACGATTGGTTGTAATTTTTTTTAAAGTTGGGGCCATCCTTCATTATATTATGTGCGCACTGAAAGGGGAGGTGGGGGTTGTTAATGAAGGAGAGCTGCGGCATACGGGACACATGGGTGGGGGGTTGGTCGGAGTGTCAAAGGTTATAAAAATATCACCGCAGCGTATCGTATTGATGGTGATGATTGCCATACTGATGCTTTGTGTGTCACACTGACCTAGTTAGCTGCGTCACCGGTAATATTTATACTATTCACTGCCATCCCCTTTGACTGCTACACACCGTGTGACGTAGTTTTGTTCCCTTGAACCGCGGCGATTGTGAAAATGGGGAAAACTAGAGACGATATGGTTTTAAAATAAAATACATGATCCCACTGTTACTGCACTGGAACGTTGGATGTGGACGTATTTTATCAGAGCTAGTCAGCGGCATTTAAAAAAAATATTGGTAGAACTGGCAAAGCAGCTCTTTACCCTCAGCGATCGTAATACCACAGTTTGGTATCACTACTAATACTGCCCCCCACTCCCACCCCTTTTTAAACGGAAAAAAAATCAAACGACGGCTCAATTTTTT